ACTTCACTGTGTTTAAATATGTAATATTAGAGGACAAATATGCTTTGTATTGTAATATCTATGTCATTATTTGTAGCAGTGTTCATGCACCTCTGAATTCTAACTTGGTGGAAACTTTATTGTAACATTGTTACAAACTTTTGAACTTATCGGGTTTGTGCTGCAGATCTTTCTGGTAAATATTTCAGGGAGTGTCCTTAAGGGTGTCCTGTGTTGGTTCTGTTTCTTGAATGAGTCATTGTTCGGCCTCACTTTACCAGTACTGTATCACTTCTTGTTTTGAAATGTCGCTAACCACACATCTGTTACACTTCAGGTTTTCACCAGTTATTTTCCTCAAAGGCTGACCAGCTCAGTTGATCCTATACACAAACTAGTGGGAAATGCTTGAAATAAATAGAAAATGACGTGATGGAGAAGGGAAAGGGAGTGTTTATGGTATGATCACTTCTTTAAAAAGCAACTGTGTCATCCAATTCCCCTCATCATATCTCAGAAAACAGGAAACTGTGTAATATCTCAAAGCGGCTAAGAGGCCTCAGTACATTTAGACGTGGTCAGACTCTTTTAAGCGTACACAGTAACTGTCTTTGAACAAACATGTCTGAACTACTTGATGCTACAGTTGACATCAGAAGTTTCATCATAGTGAAGAATGTCATGGTAATTTGGGGTTTTGAATAATTTCTTTGAACTGTCCTTTTTCCTGGGTAAAATGATTTTACAGCAGACATGATTTATAAAAAGCTCCTCTGTTCTTCATAAGGGGTCACAGCCCTGCGTAGCTCTACAACTCCAAAGGAAAACATGTCTTCTCCCAGGATCATTCCAAGTCAGTTCAGTCTGTGAGGCTGTCAGCCATCTAAAGACATATTATTAAAAATTAAAATCTTAAACATAATGGTGGTAAGGGTGATAAACTCCAGCCTAATCTTAACTGACTATGCAGTCAGTGCAGCTACAAAATTCTACTTGGTACAAAGTTACACTGGTAAACCACCAGTGAAATATCTGTCTGTGGATCTGTTAACCAAATGTTTCCAGCCATAAAGCCGCTGTTAACATCATCAAACCAGACTATTTGTAGTTTCAAGAAAAATTAATGATGCTAGTTTTATTTTTTTCTGATTTTATTTTCTTACAAGAGAAAGATATGCGAGGTCTGACACAAGTAACCTAAACACTGGATTTATTTAAAAGTATGAAACTGAAGCTCAGATGTTTTTTTGTGATTACATGTCAAAACAATGTCGCTCACAACTCATAAAGATGTTAATCTACGGAGAAGTAACATCAGTGGCTGATCATCAGTAGCATAGATGTGGGAGGTGTTAAACACAGTTTGTGTCGCTACGCTTTAAACAGGAAACATCAAAACTTTTTTTGTTTCATCACCAGTGTGTTTACAGAGAGATCATTTTCCTTGAAGTAAACAAGAAAAAAAATTAAATTAAAAGACGTTCAACTTCATGGCGTGCACATACGTGAAGAGACCACTGTGAACACCACACTGTGAGTTTCAGTCATTGCCAGTAAGCTCTCTCTGCTTCACATGAACACGTGACACCAGGAAAACCACAGTGGTGCTGGCCAAAGAGACACTGCAGCAGCTACACAGTTTCAGGTTCTTAATAAAGACTCCCCTCGTGACAATATTAGTCCATTTTATTTCTGATTATAGTACAAAAATTGTAAAACGTCTTAACACTATGTTTATTGTATTGATAGATACATAAGCTTTAGCAAAAGCCTTCTCATACAGAATCATAAAGAGTAACTTTCTATACACATATAATAATGTATGTGGCTTTCTGTTGGGTGTCGATTAATATTTGAGTTTCTCTCCAGGTCTGTTTCACTGATTTCCTTCCTTGTATTTATTTTATTCTGTTCTTCTGTTTCCACAACTTTTTCTTTTCTTTTTCTGAGTTTTTGGCTTCTTGTTTTATTTTGGTAATTACCTTTCCTTGTGCATTTCCTGTCATTTAACTTCCTATCTTTGTCTTTACACTTACTTAACTAACGGCTTGCACAGAGGAGATCGGGCCTTTGCTGTAACTGCTCCTAAATTGTGGAACAAACTTCTCCACTTCAAATCAGGACCTCCCCAACATTGGACACTTTTAAAACCCGTCTGAAAACCCACTTTTACTCCATGACTTTTAAATCAGAATGAGTTTGTATTAGTTTCATTTATCTTACTTCTTACTCAAATCTTCTAATTTCTCACTTTCTTCTTTCTTTCTCCTAACTTTTATCATGTCTCCCTACGTTTGTATTTCTTTTGATTATCTTAATTGTACAGCACCTTGGTCAACATGTGTTGTTTTAAATGTGCTATTTAAGTCAAATTGACTTTGACTCTTGCTTCCACTTCTGTTTTGTTTTCAGATTTCCTGCCCTTGCCCCCATCTTTGTGTTTGGTTCTGCTGGAGTTTTCTCTCTTATATTGTTAAGGTGTTTGCTTTGCAGTTTAAAGCACATGGAGATGACTGCTGCTATGCACTGACACTATATAAAAATAATCCAACTGATCCGAATCATAATACAAGAAAAGCACTGTAGCTGTTTGTGCAATCAGTCCTAAGTCATCACTGCTACATAGTTGCAATCTTACAGTTGCCAAGTATTTTAGTGTTTTCATAATTATACCCATTTAAAGACGCAATCTTATTAGCTTACTATTACTTTGAGTTTAGAGGACCTGAGTTCACAGATATGACTGAGCTGTGACATTTTTCTGTAGTTATGTAACCACAGTTATAGTGGCACGTTTCCACACATTAGTCAAGTAACAACATAAACTAATGTCAAACTGAATCAAATATAGGGGGGGGGAATTTTATTGAAAGGCTTCTGAAACTTTTAAGGTGGATTGCTCTGTTTCATGAACTGCCATTATGTCAAACGGACAGCTTAATGAGAGATTTTGTTGCAATCATTGCATTAGCTGTGATCGCTTCTGGGCTTTTTTTTTTATCACATTCACACAGGCTCTATCTTTGAGTGCTTATGTTTTACCACAAAGCTGACACTAAAGTAGAAAATTGTCCAAAGGCTGCAATTCTCCTTTATGGGTTGTGATACAACCCTAACAGCTTACCAGTGCTTTTGTTGCCTGTGGGAGATCAGGCTTTGGCTGCTTAGCTGCAGTTAAGATGCACTCACCTTTAACGTACACTCATCTGAAGCTAAAAATACAACAGATCAACCTTATTATGTAAAGTGCAAGTGCGATATTTGACTTTCTCTCATTAGGGCTTTGTGATATAATGGTATGTATTGAGTGTTAAAATTAAAAACCTTTATCATTGCAAGAGTGACATTAAAAGCAGCAACACTGACCAAGAGAGCTATTCTCTATATTGTAAAAGTGTAGGTATACTGGTTGCAGGGTTTGCACATATAGACGCGGATAAGAAAAAAAACAGCCCAAGAGGAGATTTCTAGATAAAAAGTAACCAATGGGAGATTCTCCTGATAAAGACAGAGATGGCCACTTGGCAGCGGTATACAGACAACAGTGATGTGCACAGTTTCAACAGGCAGTAATAAGACGTAAACCCCAATGATAGACCGTGTCGAACCTCTTTAGGCACTTGTCTGGGGAATTCATAAAGATGGTATCCATACACCCACACCTTAGTCCACCGAGACACTTGCCTGACTGCATGTGTCCCTGGGTATGTTAAAAAATATATATGTGTCTGAAAAGTGTTTTGTTTTGTTTTTTTCTCGCAGTTGTATGTGACATAGTTTGGGAGACAAGCTAGCATAGGTTTATCACACACAGTCCCAATATTTCAAAACTGGGAAATGTTGGCTGCAGCGAATCAGATCACTCAGAACAGACCAGGCAGGTCTGCATGGTCATATATCCTCTTTACATGTAATTTCTCTGAGCAGGCTGCATAGAAATGAGCTTTATCTTGATGATGGGTAGTTCACTTCCTCCTGTGTTAAGTCCCCACAGAACCATAACTTCTGCTTAAGGCATATATTATTATAGGCCTCATCGTGCAAGCACAGACTGAAGCCCTGCAGAGGAAATAAGCAAATAAGTATATTTTCATCTACATAGTGTGCAGAGGAAAACAGCACATAGCAGCAGTGTTGAAATATTTCACAACTTATTGGACAAAGTTCCACCAGTATTCCTCCAGACCAAAATAATTTCCTTATTGTAAAGAAATCTCCAGCTCAGCAAGGAAAAGACTGACAATGGCTTGTTCAAGAAAATGGATGCTCGAACAGATTTATCTTTAAAACTAACCGTTTATTCATTTTGTCCACTATAATTTTTGCTGACTGTGTAACATGTATACATACAGACAGGGTGCTGTAAAAAGAAACTGAGTCATAACAGAGATGATGGTTTATTTAAATGTTTAAATGCACTCTGCAGTTCATTATCTGGATCCATGTTCTCCTCTATTCTGGGGTGAATAAAGTTTAGGACAACACTCTGTTAAGCGTAACATATCTGAAGGCAGGATGTGGTTATGTTCTTCCTGCAGAAATGTTATTAGAAAAGGACTCTAATCTCTCATCTTATCTTCATATCTAGCTTAGACACAGTTGTTTGTAGCAGTAAATGCAGGGTTTGTAATTTTAATGCAAAGTAGGACTGACTAGCAATAATAAGGGCCCAGTATTGATAATGTTTAATGTAAGTGGGAATTTATATTTATTTAGGCTGCTTTCTCTGACCTAAACATTTTTGTTATAGCAAAAATAAGCAATGCTGTTGTACATCTTAACTGTTCCTAACAGTGTTTTAGAAAATCCTCTCAAATATCTTTTATTTAACTAAGTTTAATTAAGTTTTAATGTGTTCTAGTTGGATTTTAAATAGCGTGCCTACTTTAATCTTGCTGCATATCATGCAGGCTTATGACTGCTTGTTCTGCTTCTGTGTTGACTGAAACCTCCCCCCACTCTCCACCCTCTGGTTTTTTATTCTGCACTTACTTGTGAAGTTTGACAGACAAGAAGAGGAAACAGACGTTGTTCCTCTCCCCACAGCGATGGTTGGTGGTCGACTTTGTTATCGTAGCTACTTCGTACACAGCATTGTGCTACTTCTCTGGGTCTACCTCCAATGTAAGTACACCTGTGCTTTCCGTTCTTTGTGACATTTGTTGTATTTGTAAAACTTGTTGTATTTAATGCTGATACATGGTTATGGTAGAGTACTTAGGTCAAAAGTGCTTCTCCTCTTGAGAAGTGACGTGTCTTACTTGGAAGAGGCTTGCGGTGTATTTCTTATGTGTGTTTCCAAATGCAGCATTAATAAATGCAGCTGAGGCTTTAAAGCTATAATAATAACAGAAGTATCCATATTAAGTAAATATTCAGAGTTTTTAATATTATTCATACCTAGATATTCTGAAAGCATAAGTTTTCTCGTAATTAAAAAAAAAAAATCAAATGTTCTCTATGCTCAACATTTTTACAGATGTTTTCTCTCTGCTTGAGCATTTATAACTTCTAACTTCTAACTCTAACTTTGGAAGGCAACTTCAGGATTGCTCATCGTTTCTGTTTGTGTTACTTGCTGTATATTTTTAAGTGCTGGTTAGATGGTATGCTTCATCACATATTTATAACTATATGCATATATATAACTTGTCATACAGTACGCCTCTATGTAACTGATTTGCTAGTAAGAGGGGAGTGGACATTGCTATGGAAAAAGCTGTGAGTCTGACATGACACTAGCAACAGAAGCATTTCCTGAGTACTCTCCACCAGTAGTTGCAACAGTGGCCGAAAGTGATGAGCTCACAACACAAAGGACAGCTGTAACCTTTGCCCACGAATTCTGTGGTTGTGATACTTTTTCTTTCAAAACACTATAGCTTTGAACTTAACAAAGACTATTGTTCTATTAAATTATTGATCACTACAAATATTGAAACCGCTACTAATGAACACTCACTTTTAACAGCAACATTTTTTTTTTAAATTGTGTGGTTCAGTTGGCCTTCTTGAAAGACTGTGCCTGACATTTGTTTTCCAATTAATTGCAAAATTACAAACTGAATAATAACATTTTTCCATTGAAAAACAGTAACATAAAATTAACATTATTGGTGACATATTATTCAGTTTCCATATTTAAATGTTAGTCACCAAACACATTTTTTAAAATTGTTCAATTCTGATATTTTTGCATTTTTAGAGGAGAGAATAAGGTTGGAGGCTATTTGGTCTTGTTTTTCCTCACTGACGTTTCATAAATATGACACTTGGTATTTGTATGTTTTTCAGATGTGGAGACTTCCAGTGGAAAACATGTTATTCATAAAAAAGTTGGAGATACTGTGGAGCTTTCATCAGGCTTACCAACTGAAGGGGTGACTGCGGCAACATGGAAATATGGCAAAATAATAATTGCAGACAAAGACATTGAAACCAATACGGGTGTTACTAAAGGCTCTCCATTTAAGGACAGATCAGAGCTAAACCATCAAAACTTTACTTTAACAGTGAGAAAATTGACTCTTCAAGACTCAGGTGATTTCATTTTTGTCTCAGCAACAAAAGAGAAACAGAGGGATTCAGTCATCATCACTCTGCAAGTTCATGGTAAGATACTTTATTGATTAAACAAGCATCTTGATAACTTTTAAAAGATATAGATAACCAATTACCTTATGAACTTGGTTTTATTTGCTTGTGTTTTTTGTGCATTTCCAACCACCATTATATATTACTGTTGAATATCGATTGCATAATACTAATTAATGGCCTTATTTTATATTGATGAGCTTTTTGTCCTCATATCTATTTACTTTTATTTATACTTGAAAATCTTTGTGAAATACAATGTGATATTTTGAAATAGTTTATCAACCTCCCTTTTATACTCCACATCTTTTTTGTCTGGTTTCCTGATTTTCCTGAGAGACATAGTTTAATTTATATATTTTCCTCAAGTAGCAAATCCTGTAGCTTACAGATAAAATGTGTATTTTATCATAATTTATATAGTGGTCATTATTTGACTGAGTTTTAATCTCTTGTCTTCATTTTTTATGTGTTTTGTTTTTGAGGTGGTTTTTAATTTTTAGGTTTAGATACTATGAGACCATTTGATACAGGAGTTAACAGTAGTTGCCCCAATTTAATAAACTTTGGGACTGATAATGTTGTTGTTTGGCCTAATTTTATAAAATACATTTGCAGGACTCTGCACAAACATATACTTTAAACTGTGATGTAAAATGTGACCTGACACAGACTCTCTTTGTCCTTCTGTTTTCGCATTAGATCCCATAGCTAAGCCTGACATAAAAATCAGTTCTACCTGGATTTCCTCAAATGAATCATGTAAAGTTCTGCTGGAGTGCAGCACAACTGGTGATGTCAGCTACAAGTGGACTGTAGGAAAACAAACACTAACTGGTCCCAGGCAACAATACATCATCAGGGAGCAGGATGGAGAGACAAATTTTACCTGCACAATTTCCAATAATGTCAGTGAGAAGTCTGCATTTCAAACTGTGAAAGCAACTGAATGCAGCAACAGTACACAAAAAGATCTAGGTATGTGTTGTGTGCATTTCTGTACTTGTCCTAAGAGCTTGAAAAGAATTTGTTGATGATGATGACTTTATTGATCACAATTGGTGAGGATTTTGAAAACAATTGGTAAAGAAAATGTAACAAATGGCTATGACATTTGCTTTATTTACAGCATATTGATGCAATCCCTAAATGCAACATGACTACAAATCTTGTGAAGCTGTTAAATGACATAGCAGTTTGGCATTCAGGATGAATAGAATATACCATATTGTTCAAAGGTCTTGAGACATCTTTTATTTCTTGATATGTATGTATATTTAATTTATTGAAATATCTGAAAACATACATGAAAATACAGCATTTACGGCAAAAACAGCAAATCTGTATCTAATTTTAAAGTCAATATTTGGCATGACCTCTTATTCTTCACAGTCTGAACTCTTTTAGGCAGCTTTCTTTAAGTACTCAGCATATAGTTAGGTCTCCATAGTTCTCCAGGCTTCTTAAAGGACATTCCAAAGCTTTTATTTCAAATGCTGCGTGCCTTTTGTTCTGTTCTTCGTTCTGTCAAGATGTGTTTGGGATCACTGAAAAAGCACAGTGTGGCCAGTAATCTGTCGACATCGTGGATCAAAATTTAATAATAATTTCTGTGCTCATAATTCAATTAATTTTGACAAGATTTCTAAGACCACCATTGGCTGAAGTGCAGCTCCGAACCATGACAGTGCCCACAGTGTTTTACAGATGGCTGTAGATGCACACTACCTCTCTCCTGACCTGCTCTGTACAAATTGACCATTATTAAGATTCATGATTCAATAAGGCCTGCTCCAAATGACTTTTACACCAGTTCTTGTTTAATGATGCATTCCTCAGCCTTTCATCACAGTCTCACTTCCTTAAGCATGTCTTCTCTACAGCCACTCTTTCACTGAGACCATTTGAGATGAGACTTGATGAGACTTTAGTGAACAGTAGATGCCTCACCTGGCTCCTGTGTATCTGCTCATTTTATTTTTCTTATTTCATAACATAACATTCAGATACTGTTCATATGTGGCACATATGTTTTAGGTCTGCTACTTTTCCTTTTGTCCTCTACTTGTGCAGAATCTTAGATTTCTTTTTTTAGGGACATACAACACATCATCTGAAGATATGCCAGGTTTTTAGCTAATAGCACTTTGGGAACATTGCTAAAGCAAAAATGCTATTTTATGCCATTCAAACTGTTATATTTGGAAATTTTTCATAGATTCACCTAAATAAATTGATTAAAAAAAATGTGTGTGTTTTTAACAGGGTACTAATAACTCCCTTAAGATACAATTTAAAAACATTTTTCATGATGATTTATGGGTCAGTGTTAGGTGGTTTAAAAAACAAAAAAGTTATTCTTGAAATGGTTAGGTTTAAAGACTGGACGGAAACTGAGTGAGAAAGCAGCCAATGTTGAAGACAGTGTTAGAAAGCCATAATTAACTTAATGAAATTAAATTATTTGCAATAATTTTGTTGGTATTGTTTCAATTGTTTTTACTTAATCGGGTATGTGGGTTATTTATATTTAATGCTGGGCTATTATTAACATAAGCAATTTCATCATTTGCAGAAAAATACTTCCTTATTGTGGGCATAGCTGGTGGATGTTTCATCGTTGTCATTATAGTCTGTATAATTGTGGGAGTTTGTTGCTGCAAAAAAAGACATGTTGGTAAGAAACTCTTGATTATATCATTTTTTAGCTTTATAATTTTTTTATATGTCATATTATAATAGTTTACCTGATTTTTCCATTTGTAACCAGGAAGTGACACAAATGACCTCACTGTGTATGCTGATGTTGGTGAGCTTACAAATGAAGATGTAAGTATGCTCATATATTGTGCTTTGCACACATAATTTTTTTAATAGGAAAGTGATGAGTTTCCGAGAATGAAATGCAAGGTTTGCTTTAACTATTCTGTCCTTCAACTCACAGGGGACTTCATCTTCCATGCAGCCTTGCTCGTTGTACGAAACCATTGATAACAGAGTCCCAACAGTTAAACCTGGGGTAAGAGCAAAACTTTGTTTAAAATTCTTGCAATGGAATTCATCTGTTATCGAGACATATTCAAATTGGTAATGAAGGGGACTACAGTGTACTTTTCACTTTGTTATAGTACTCTGCATTTTTACAGATTTTTGTAAACATTGGTTATTCTCAAAGCAGACTAACTAACTAACTCTTGGTTAAATGTCTTTGTTTTTTCCATCTTTTTGTAACACATACAGCCCCAGACCGTGTACGACAAGATCCAGCTTAATCGTGTGAGAAAGGTTTCAGTGTCGCCGTACCAAGACATTTCCTAGATGGTGTATAGCTTTTATTTGTTTGTCCATTTTTTTTTTTTTATGTAACCATGGTTAAAGTAAAAGTTGGAAAATGGGAAGCCCTTGAAAATACAAGGCTAATAAGACAAGAAGTAACATGTTATAAAGGGAGATTTGTTATTTTGGCCTTTTTTTGATGGTTTATTATACATGAGAAAATATCGTTAACAATGTTGTAAATTTTATAAATAGAGAATATATTTATTTTTTATTCTTTTGATACATTTAAGGGATTTAATGTCACTGTAAATTATTTTATTAATTGTTTTGGTAATGCTTGTTTCAATAATTTTCAATCAGTTGGCATTGCTGCAATCCTACCTGCACATTATGGTATGCAGTGCTCAGTCTGAAGCTGTTGTCAAAAGAGTTAACACTGAATCAGAGCTTCCTCATTTCCTCATTAAATCAGGGTTAAATGTGTTTAAAGTACGGCCTTTAATTCCACTGTCTGACCAAACCAAGTTACAACCAATCACAGTAAGCTGTTTTATCCACCAGTGTTCCTCCCATTATGTCACATAACAAAATTTAATAAATATATACGCAACTCAATTTTGTAGAATTGATGGAATAATGTAATATAACTGGAAGCAGTAATATGTTGTGACCAATGTACAACTCACTCTCTAGAGGGCTTAGATTATCACCATGAGTCAGCGAAAAATGCAATAAAATCAGCAAGAAATTAATATAAAAATGATTTTTACAGTCCTGACAGTGGTCCAAGAGGATAAAGCTATAAATAGAACAATGTTTCTTATTCACCTCTTTTTTTTTTTAGTTGTACCTATATTTACAGATGTTTGTTTATTGTGGTCATATTTTATAATATTATATTACCGTACATCAGTGGCGGAGCGGGGGGTGGCTTACTGGGCTTAAGCCCGGGTTGTTTTTTCAGAAGCCCGGGGTCTTTTGGAGTGAAATTTTTTCATAGTTAGATGCCTTGCTGACAACTGTATAAAACAAAAAACTACACACAATATTCGAAGCACATAGTGCACACTGTGGGAATTTACGACTGTGCGTAAATCCCCCCTAATATTGGTATGATCTGAGCTCAGGCACTAAAAGACTGAGCAAGGGGGCGGGGGAGCTGCTGCCTGCGAGTGCGCTGTTGGAGAAGCGCAGCCAGGCAGACAGAGGAGAACTGAAGTTTGACCAGGTACCAAAGCAAATCATTCGTACTGTACCAATAATGTAAATATGACGGTGTATCACGAAAGATATCAAACTGATCACTAACCCATATTACGTTACTTGCTCTTCAAGTGAATCAACAAATGGCGAAATGAAAAGCCGAACAACAACAATGCTCTATCTACACATGTTCGCTCTTTTTCTTCAAATCGCTTAGAAACACGCTATTTAACATCATTACAGTCATGGATAAGGTCAGGAAAAAGGTTATGGTTAGGGCTAGGGATAATGTTAGGTTTAGGGCTGGAATACAGGGCTGGAACGTCTATTCCCGCGGGAGCGTCATTGCACTGGATTTCGGCCATAACCCGCCGCGTACCATAAGAACGCCGAAGGCCTCCTTTTGCGTTCCTCAGGAACGCCGCGGGACGTAACAAAACGTCGGCATATTACGCCTCGGGAGTGAGAACGGGCTCAAATGTCAGAATAAAGAGAGAGAGAGCTGTCTATTTTTTTTTTTTATCACTTTCATCGAATTTAGGAGTACATATACACTAAGTTTATTGTTAATTAATAAGAAAACTGCAGACGATTCCATTCTGAGCTGAAGAAGCTTCTGATTGGTTAGTAGAGTCCATGTGAGTAAATTGGTGGCACACCTGTGGATGCATATAAGGCAAAACACAGAGCCTGTTTCTGTGACATGGGAAAATCAAGAGATGTCAACCAAAACACCAGGAAAAGAATTGTGGAGCTCCATAAGTGTGGCTCAAGTTTGAATACAATTTGGTGCCATTTACAATTAAGAGATACAGATAGTTTCTATGTTTTTATATTTATCAATCTAAAAAAATAAACATTTAATCTGATTTGATGTTACAATTAAAAAAGTGTTTTTATCTGAAGAGTATGTAAATATCTGGTTTCCACTGTATATTTGATGATTGTCAGCACAAAGAGGGAGAGAGAGGGAGAAGGAACAAGAGCAGGTGAGACACACATGTTAGTCAAATGGTTGTTTACCAAAAGTATCACCGTATCATAGGTACTCATGTATCTCGTACCTAGTGTTTCTTTTTAGGTTTGTTATTTTTCAAATTCTATATTTATTAAGTTATGTAAGTTTGTTTGCACAACAAGGCTAAATAATTATATAAACTTTTCTAAATAGTGTACTTTGGTAGAATTAAAAAATAAGTGTAGTGCAGGTATATCATGATTTTTAGTTCTACTATCATCTAGCTCTGATTCTGTTTCTGTCTTAGTTAAGTCCTAAGTAGTCCTGATTTTGAACTGTTGTAGTCCTGTTTTAATTCTGGATCAGTTCTGGGTCTGGTTGAATTGGGGTTTATGGGCTTAATTAAAAAAATAGTTTAAGGTGTCCTGCAGATGTGATATATATATTTCCCTACATGAAGACATTCTTTTTTGAACAAAACTCAAAACAGAGCCAATTAATCTTTCAGTCATTTATTAATAAACAGTCTTTTATTATTAGGGCTAAGCCCCGGGTGTTTCAAACCACCCGGGTGGTAAAATGATTTTGATTTGAAAAATTATTCAGAAAGAATATTTAATATATATTTATACAAAGCCCCTGTAAAAAATACCTGAACACAGCATTTTAACAAATACACCAAAAAAAAATGTACAGAAATGGGTGGCTACAATTATATCTTATAGTGCATTTCACATGTGTGTATAAAAGTAACAAGAAGAAGAGCAATTCAAATGTGACATAACAATAAAAAATAATGCAGAAAAGATACATATTTAACTTCAAACTTCCCGGACACCTATACTATAATACACCTGTACAACATACAATGATCCATCATGTATATCGTGGTGACTCAATATTTTTTATAGTTATGACACTTGACTTTTTTACGTTAGATACCACATATATGCAATGTGTTCATCTTCTGCACATTCCGTAAAAGTGTTTTAATTTTACGGTGGTGGTCTTCAGTCTTTCTTGTTGCACTGGTTCAGACATTCTTGTTGAAACTATTATAACATATAATGGAGAAAAAGAAGATAATTTTTGATAATTTTATAAACCACATATTTTGTGTTGTGGATCCTAGCAACTAGACAAAACAGAAACTGAAACTTACCTTTCGACTAGAGTTTAAGCATACACAGTTGAACACGGGCTTTCTAGAAAAATCAGAATCAGAATACTTCCCATTACATAATCCTAGAGGAAATAATGTTGTTACATTTGCTGCTGATATATGAACTATAAGGTAAATATGTGTGAGTTCATATATCAGTCACTGCACATTGCTGTATTAGTTACATAATTAGACACCTTTCAGGTTTTCACATGCAGATTTGATTTGTTACTGATTTTAAATTTAAGAAATAATGAAGCACATAAATCACAAAAATCATTAAGAACATAAGAATTAAATGCTAAGAGGTGATTCTAGTTTCAAACTTTTAGGGGGTCAACCCCCAATCATACTGTGAAGTGCATTGCAATTAATATTAACATAATATGCAGCTTGCAAATGTATTCAACTCTTTCCACATGTTTTAATGTCATTTCAATAACATAAGGGTAAATGCTCAATCATGCTGACCTGAATTTTCCAAAGTAAGTTAAAGAACAGTTTGAAACAAAGCAAAACAAACATGCACAACATTGTTTCAGTCCACCAATTCAAGCAAGTACAGCAGCATTATTCAGTATAGACACTGAAAAATCACCCTGCCACTAGCATTTTTTAGCAGACAAAGAATCCAAATCTACAATTATTTCGGGAAAAATATTTTTGTTTTTTTTCCCCTAACTTCATAATCAGCCCATTTGTTTACCTGGTTCTCACTGCGCTTGTACAAGCTCTCCAGCGTCGTCTTTGCATTCAGCTAGAAAATAACAAATCTTATAAAGTATTAAAACAGCAGGTTGATGATCTACATTTGTATACAACATAACACTAGGTATGTGAAAACAATGTCAATTAATGTGGGCAAAACAGAGGCTAGCTTAGCATTCAACTTTTTTTCTTGACTTAATACATATATTTGTCCACACTTACTTGTTTCTTTTTGCTTGCTCTCTCTCTCTTTGAGATCTTCATTCTGGTTTATCTTCTTATTTTTCTCTCTCAGTCTTTGTGCTGTCACCCAACAAATCCATATCAATTTAAAGTAATATTTTAAAAAAAAAATATAGGCTGTTGCTTGCTATTGAAAGGTAGCATCATTTTAAGTTATCATCTCAATCTGTAGCTATGCTACAAATAAATCATGAAGCCCAATTCAACCAGAATAGGAACAGAAATCTTTGACAAACTAAAATAATAAAGTTCATCAGCTTCACAGCTGGCTATAAGTGATACACCAGAAGACTAGTGGCTCTAAAAGCTAAGGTTTGCTCATAATCTCTAGTGAGCAAGCCCAGCGGTCCCCAAGTCCCAGACCGTTTGGTATTAGGCCACAGGAGTTGAGTCTCTGGTGTGAAATTTATAGTTTTCAGGGGTTTTAGCGTTATTTTTCTAAATCGGTTTTATCGTTAACTCGGTTTTTCCCTGGGTCTTTTCCCGTATGTTATGAATAAATCTTCTTTTTTTTTTTTGGTACCGCTGGTTTTATTTTGTTGTATTTTTCCACAACACCTTAAAGGCCGGTCCGTGAAAATATTGTTGGATATAAACCGGTCCGTGGGGCAAAAAAGGTTGGGGTCCGCTGATCTAGCCTATATTAGCTAAGGTTTTTGTTGCTACTTATAGAACAACAAAACCCCATAAAAGTCACATTAACAACTTTGTATTATCAGAAAAGTTTGCACCATTTTGTTGTGCCATGAATTTATCTCTTTGTCTTATTTCTGCTGGAGCAAATAAAGTCTGACTTATTAATGCCAAATTATACTGCAGGCTGTGTGGATGCACTTTAACATTAAGAACAAGGAACATTAAAACATGTTGTCTTTTTATCCTGTCTCCAGTAGAGGAATTTGCAGAACTTAACATTAGGAAAAAATTTTTAAAAGAATACTAAAATATATAATTTTTTACTACTATATCTACAGTTATTGCTATAGTTTTAGGGGTGCTATGAAGAAAAGAAAGGTGCTTGAAAAAAGGGTCTTAAATCACCTATGGTTAATACTGACCACTATCTTTTAATGGAATGCACACATGGGGAAGAAACATAATGAGCATTTTCTTCTTTCTGTAGTGTTTTTTATATCTTACCTACATAATAGTAAATTAGAGCAGACAAGACACTTGCTCCAATGCCGCCAAAGAAGCAAAGTAAATTTCTAGCCCTGGGCTGTGGCACTGTCGTAGGTGAAGGCTGAGTTGTACAATTTGAAACTGAAAAAAGGAAACAAAAATATAAAATCAGAAATGCGTCTTTGTGAGCTGATTTGCCTGATTTAATTGAAACTTATAATGCCCTTCAAGCTAAAGGTGCACTGATACCAGTATCAAATACCAGCTCACACATCTGTTGCTTAATCCTCAACTCATCTGATGCTTTGCTTACATGTTAGAGACTGTATACCATTGTACAACTTACCAGAAATCGGACGATCACACTTTGAAGTGAAAGCTTCCGATGAAATATTTTCCGCATTTCTCCTGGAGATGCAGGTAAAATTGGCAAAGCTCTCTCTGGTGCTGACAAATGCAAAAAGCTGTGCAGAGCTGTCACTGGGATTACTCTTGTTGATGGTGAGCACACTGACTGGTTCAACACTCCAGGAGAGGTTAACACCCTCATCCTGAGAAGAGCAGGTCACCACCATTAAACAGCCACTTTCGACAGATGTGCTTGTGACTATCGGGATGGATGGCTGCTTGAGCTTTTCTGATGGAGATGGACATGGAGAAAGATGGAGAGTGAAAATGATAAATTCACACAAAGAAAAGATCCTAAAATGTCAATGCAAGACTGCCTAGCTTAACTTTAATCCAAGCAGTGTATTTGATTGCAAACTGCTAGATTTGATGTTTATGGAACATGAATGCACTCAAAATAAAGAAAAGTTTGTAGTATTTCATTAAGTGCTGCTATTCTTTTAAATAAGAGAAATAAGCACTGACTCAAAAAAATCAAAATATAAGTAATTTTATTTTTAGTTTTTCTGATATGTCACTTACGTTTTGCCGTGAGTTTAATTTTATTTACTCCATCATCACCTAACCTATTGAGGAGGTTTACAGTGTATTCCATAGCATCATTTTCCTTCAGGTGGTGAATAGTTAGATCACCTGTAGGATAAAATGAATTGAAACAACATGAAGGATATAACACTATAATACTGTTGCAATAAAAAGGTGATCAATTTTCTGTTACCTGATGTTTCACTAAGAGTGAGTCTCCCTGCGTACTGAGGAATATATCTGGTGTTCTTTTCCCCATTGTTATAAGTGGCAATCCAAGTGGTGTTGGTGAATATTGACCATTCAATTCTAAGGAGATTCCATGATGGGTCGGCTCCTGAGGGCAATGTGATGTTTTCTCCAAGGTATCCAGAGACTTCCCGAAATGATTTAGGTACTGCAGCTGTTTTTACACCTTGTACTATTGTTAAAAAAAACAAAAAAACATTTAGTACAACTGCATGTTGTCTCACAGGGTTAAACACTAAAAAAAGAAGGAAAAGCACTCCCCTAAATACTCTTAACCTTTGATTATTTTTTTAAAGAACCTTAAACTAAACATGAAACATTCTGACTCCACTACAGGAGTCAAGAGATGTTGTTTGCTTTCATTTGCTCCGTCCCTAAATAAGGTATCATAAAATATTTTAAAATGGCTAATGACAACTGTCAGTCACATAATTATGTGGTAATCTTGATCAGAAATAACTGAGAAATATCAACAGCTTCTCCTCCTTAAGAGACAAAAGGAATGTGCAGCAGTACAATACATGACAAGGCTCTGACATTTAAGAGGTGTTTTTAGAGTTAAATGAACGTGTTCAGACACTGGATAGCCCCGTTCTTGTGGTTTTTTGAGAAGTATTTGCAGTACATTCATTGATAAGCAGGCAATTTTAAACATCTGTTGTTGAGATATTTTTCTTTTTGGGTCAAAGTGATAATCACAAAAATTCCATCTGCTATACATCTGACATTTTCTTTTTTAAGGGTAAGCTAGGGTAGATATCAAAACAGTTATGAATATATGATCATTCACCATAAACATCAAAGTATTTCCAAAACCACAGTCGAAATGGTCAAGCTAATAACATGCATAATAGGAATGCATGTTAATAAACACTAAACATCTCAGTTTGAGAAGAGTAACAGTGAGTTCTATAAGCCGGAAATAAGCCACGTGAATGAGGTCCACCAGTTGATCTAACTTCCCTCTTCTTTTCGAACACGAACAACAGAAAACCGTTCCATTATACTCACTTTTCTTGGCATCAATAATTAAATGATAAAATGTGAGCATTTTTGTCCAGCATTTAAGGCAATTAATTCACAAGTTAAGTTTCGTACTTCTACCTAAAGTAACCAGTAAAGTTACTAATTTTTATGATAATCATTTGAAATATTTAGCTTTTTTTTTTTATCTTGAGGTCTGGCACAGTTGTAGATCATAATAGCTTAAGATAACATACACAGGACATACCTTGAAAGAAAATAATAAAAAGGGTCTGTAGTCTCATGGTCCCTGACGTGAAACACAGTCAAAGCGCTATGACTTGTATTTGCTGCTTCTTCCTCTTTCCGACAAGCGGAATTAACACTACACCCACTACAACCAACCAATCTTTTTTCCTCCTTTATGATAGCTCCATACTTAGCATCTTTTGTCCAATATATCCACATTCGGTCCTTTGAATATGTCCAAATGATCTCAGCCTTGACTCTCTAACTTTGACAAAATGCTTCACCTGAGCTGTCCTCTGGTGTATTTATTTTCATTGCTGTTTATCCTGGTCACACCCAATAAAGAAACGTAACATTTTCATATCAGTAACCTGTCTTCACATCACCCTTGTTCTTGAAAATCAGTCAAAGTCCTCTTTATCTCAATCAGCAAACTGTGTTGATGAGTTTGGTTGAAAAGCATGATGCCCTATCAGGTATGTCATCAACCAACTGCCTTTCTGCTCTTTATCCTCTGCACTTCCTGATTCACTCCCTGTCTTCCATCTGTAAAAGTGTTCACCATACCCATTCCCACCCTTTTTGTAAATCTACTACCATCTGTCGTTCTGTGTTTCTCTCCATAACAACATACCTGCCCAACACCAAATTAATTTCACCTACATGCCCATTAAAGTCAGCTCCAATCAACACTTCTCTTTGCTGGGGAAACCACATCATACAATTTACTACAAAAATACTTCACTACTTAAGTTTTTCATTTAAAAAAACATATTCTTGTTATAACATGACCATCACTTATGTTCGAAATATTGCCCGTTATCAAAGTTACCAACGTCTTTTATTTGGTACATTTTACATTTCTTTCTTTCAGTTTTGTAAAATGTATTTTATTGTTCCATTTTCAATTGTACAGCATTTGTATTGTGCATTATTGTAGGTTATTCTTCCGTAGTATGGCAAATTCCAGTCAACTTTAGCTACATGTAACCTCATGGCTGTGTAAATTTGTCACCTTATGTTAGGGCGCACACACTACTACGCATGTCAGCTTCACTTCCTTTTTCAGACCAAAAAACCCCCGCCCACAACTCAAACATCTGGTGACACACATGGGGTTTGACTGACATCATTTAATACTTTTTTTTTAAGACTAAATAGTATTTACTTAAAAGACTGTGGTGCGTAGAGACAAGTGTTAGAGATTAATTTCAGCACAACAAAGTGACAGCAAAACACAACTGATAAAAAATGAAATTACATTTTAAAAAAGGGAAACACTCAAATGTAATGTAAACTGTTCAACAGTGACTTGGCTATCTGCAGTGTAAAAAAAAGAGACATATTTGAATGACAAAAGACACATAATCATATCCATCATTTAATTCAAAATCATGTTATTACTCAAGACAACCAGGCTCTAGTTAGTGTATAGATTCATCTACTCATAACCAATGAAAGTTGACCCCCATATACAGACATAGCACAGGGCTAGATAAACTCCGGCTGCTGCTGGTGTAATGTCTGCACCACCTAAGCATAGTGTGCATTTCTACTGCTTCAGTTTCAGAAATGTAACAATACAATTGTGCTCTTTTTAACACTGGGTTTCATTTTCATCCTTTAATCTCGTCCAGCTATTTGTACATATAGTATGTGTAAATGCTTGCAGTGATGAAGGGTACCTATGCACTGAAACTCTTTAAGGATCTTAATTTGAAATACTTGCAGGAGATTTTTAGCTTAAGAGCTTCTGGGTTTCAAAAAAGAGCCCAATATCAGCTGTTCCCTTACAGGCCCGCTGCTAGTAAAGGCCCGACTTTACCATTAATGCATCGCTATTATTAATCCAATTAAAATAGGCTGTAAAGAATAAATGTATTCATGAGGCCAATGTAAATTATTGAATGTAGCATTTTTGCTTATAGGGAAAAACTTTATAAAGTGGGAAGTGCATAGTGCGGCGGTTAGCACTGTTGCCTCACAGCAAGAAGGTTCTGGGTTCAAAACAACCATCTGTGCAGAGTTCAACTGGTAAATGTGGTTGTCTGCTTGTCTTTGTTAGCCCAGTTACCTCTTGAGCTATGATAGCTGGGACAGGCTCCAGGCCCTGCTCTTAATTTAGCTTTTTTCCTCTATCATGTCAGACATTTCTATTGATGGACCTCTCACTGAGTGACCAAACCACATAAACAACACAAAACGTGTTTCTGAAACAGTCAAATTGTCCTTCCCAACTTGCTTAAAATTTCATATTTATTGCAAAGTTAGCATTTCACCTTCATTCAGTGGAATAAAAAATATAAGAAGAAATAGTTCAAAGATGGTTTCATGTCTCCACATTTAGGCTATGAAAGCTGTCTATAAATGTCAGGCAAACTTTTAGTAAAGTTCTCTGTTCATTTATTTTCATAGTCAGTCTGTCAGGAACTAAAAAAAGGAAAAAAGAAGATGCTAAAAAAAGAAAAGAGAACTGAGCTAAAGTCTGAGAAAGATAAAGTAAAGTAAAGCCATTCAGGTCTGATTGCATAGGAAAAGGTCATTTTGAACAGTAAAAACAATTGAATATTTTCCACAGCCAATCAGTATATTACATGGATCTATCATGGGTGGATCTTAGGTAAATGGTGCAGTAATAACACATTTATCAAAAATCAAATTTAAAGAGCAAACAAAATGCAACAACAGGAAGTAGAATCACTTAGCGAAGTTAACAGTCAGCAGTTTTACAAGCAAGTAAACGGAAGATGGTCAGCGAC